GGATATATTCATCTATTTCACACAAAAATATCAAGTGTTCCCTACAAAATATTGCGTTGATAATGACATCGTATTGGCGAAACTGTTGCCGCTCGTAACATCCAGGTATTTTGTATGGTTTTCGATGATGAGCAATACTTTTTGTTCCGCACTGCAAGGGAGTGTTGTGATCACGTGGCTTCCTATTTATATATTGCCTGTCACCAGCAGACGACTGATCTAACTGAATTTTCACTTGCTATTTTTTGTTATAAAGGGAACTGTTTTTGCATCGTAAGTGGTATTAACAATCTCGGGTAAATAATATTGATGTTTGTTTGCTTTTTATATAACTTTACTTCCCGATTTCCATTGTCAATAAAACTTCTTATGACAGCGACTTGGCACCCGCCCTACCAGTGAAACTGTTTGTGCACTCCGATCGCACATGTACTCCCCCGATATAGCGCGTGCGATGCAATCGTCGAAATCACCAGAAGGTCGAATTCAGCTCGTGTTGGGATATATACTGTCATTGACGGGATAGTTCTAAGGCCCCATCAGCATGATTAGTGACAGTATATACCCTGATGGCAGTTTTCAGCATTACAAGCCCTTCTGTGTACTTATACCGCTAACAAAAAAACAAGCAGATTTTTAACAGCATTTAGTGGGGAAAGAACAGAAATCTGTATTGTAGCAAAATACTTAAAAAGATGGAACTTGTTGTTGCCCTGCCTTGTGCTTGCTTTAAGGGGATAGATCGAGGACTGGCCTGTTTAGAATAGGTATACTGTGTTTGAGTGGGGCAACCTGTCAAGAGCCGGGTTAGAGTGAGTCTTCAGCAACCCATGTTTGTCGCAAGAGGCGACTAACGGGATCGGGTGGTCAGCCTCGCTGACTTGGTTGACACATGTCATCGTATCCCTGATCATTGCTCATGATGCTGATCACTGGATTGTCTGGTCCAGATTCGATTATTTACAGGCCGCTGCCAGATACATGGAATAGTGCAGCATTAATAACAAACAAACAAACGAAACTGCAGGGCACCTCAGTAGGCTGGCACAATACAACCATCATCAGTCTGGACAAGTACACACACGTGTCTTTAGATATCGCTATTCAGATATCGCTGTTTAAAAGAAATAACCCATTATACAAACTGTAAACTGTGTTTCCGATAACCTCAACAAAGTAGGAACCAATGGAAGGGAAGTAACTCTAATAATTTTAAAGAAGTGCTGTAAAATGTCTCAATTAGCTCCAAGTTCAGCTCACTCAGCAAATATCATCGCGATCAAATACTTGGCAATTACTGCTGACAGATATTCAAATGCAGACACAAATGCAACTCTTGCCATCTTTAATGTGTCATGGAACACAGAAATCCTGCTGACTGCAACATGAAAAATGTGCTAAGTACCCATCATTACGATGCAAACTTTATGTGATTCTGTATCAGCACATTTGTGTGGCTATTTCTATTTGATGTATGTACCTATTTCACAGTTAGGAACCCTTTGGTTTTCTTTAGAACTGGTATTGCATACCATTACACTTTTACACAATGCCATTTTAGAAAGCGGCTAAATGTAACATATGTTATATTTGGGATTACACTTTCTTAGTAAAGTACAAATTCTAGTACTTTTGGGGGTTGAGTCCAATCCGGGATTCGAATCCACACCCTCAGAGTCAGGCACCTAATCGCCAGCACGCAAATGGTATTGCATAATTCATGCATGCTAAGTTTGACTTTTTGGCTTTTTTTACAGTTGAATTTTTACATAACTCTAAGTCAACACAAACTTTATTGAAATAGTACTTAGATAGGTGTCAACAATTGCAATAATATAGTCAAATACCATTATGTCGAACTTTGATGTTTCGGACCTATAGTTGTCTTGAGTAAAAGCTTAGCATATGCATATCTATTATTCATCATATTACCGCTATGTCCAGCCTTAAATATTAAACTGAAGTATTTGCGTTGGTCTCACAATGGTTTTTGACTGTAATAGTAGTAAGCCTACTTTAAGGCTTGATAATTACATAAACAATAGTTATAGAACGGAATAAAGTATTGCCGACAATCTCAAAGATGGCGATTTTTCTTCTGTCACTACTCAACCTAAAGGGAAGTAACTCTAATCCCAAGTTGTTATAATCTCTGATGTAATCAGATCTGGACCTTTACCAACCTGATAGTTTCTAACCTTCTTGTCCAGTGGAGTTTGGATACCCATTTGGAAACACTGGATTTTAAAAACACTGAGACATGGCTCTTTTAAAGCTTTCAAAAGTGACAGTATTCTGAACGTTCTGGACTCTGCTTAGAAGCTATTTGGAGAAGGCTCTTCATAAAAAATAAAATACAAAATGATTTAAAGAACATTCTGGAGTTCCAAATGAACCTGCTAAATGTGTGAGATTATATGGTACTGCCTCAATACTATGAAAGTCTCTTCATTCAAATATTTATCCCACTAAAGTGACAGACAATGATTTTGGTAGAATTTTTCCTCCTGAAGATACTGTGTTAACCGATTCTGGGTTGTACAATTAGAAAACACATTTAGCCTGTCTCACTTGTGAAGTGAAAGGTTGTTCTGATTTTATCCTTCATGGGATGTTCTCAAAATTTTGTTGAGTGGCAACAAGAATTGAGACTTGATTTTAAGGACACTATTGGTAGTTTTCAACAAAAAGATAAAGTCAAGAGGTACAATATCAACAAAAATCACTTGGATCACTTTCTTACATGTAAAAATGATCACGAGGAAATCTCTGAAAAAACTTAAACACTTACCTCTCTCACTGTAACCATGACGACATCAGGGGCCTTCCACCATCTTGAACAGCCTTACAATGTCAGTTACATGATCACATTCTATTGGGTGTAGTCACAAACAGTTTCACTGTAACCATGACAACATCAGGGGCCTTCCACCATCTTGAACAACCTTACAATGTCAGTTACATGATCACATTCTACTAGTAGTAGTCACAAACAGTTTCACTGTAACCATGACGACATCAGGGGCCTTCCACCATCTTGAACAGCCTTACAATGTCAGTTACATGATCACATTCTACTGGTAGTAGTCACAAACAGTTTCACTGTAACCATGACAACATCAGGGGTCTTCCACCATCTTGAACAGCCTTACAATGTCAGTTACATGATCACATTCTACTGGTAGTAGTCACAAACAGTTTCAGTGATGTGAGGGAATATATTTATGCAGGAACTGACTCATTCCATCGATCATCTTTTACATGATCAGAATGCAACATGGGTGCAACTTTCCCATCTGGCTGGTGACTGATATGATGAATGTCAATGTAAAGTCTGGCACCTGAAGTTCCACATGGCGTTAGGTGAATGGACAATATCCAGGTTGTGAATCTCCTGGTATTACAATCCAAAACAGTCATGTCGTCCAAGAGTATCTGTTCCTGTTGTGAAATTGTTCCATTGCACTATACTTCTCTTGTGAATTATTCAAGAATTATTTCAATTGAGCAGTTTCACCTGGGAAAATCCTTCCATGGTACATCTTCACTGGCAATATTTATTCAGGGTGAAATTAATTTCTTGTCGGAATGATTACCACTGACAATTTGGTTCAGTCTCCATTGATTTTGTTCCAAATGCTTGCACACAGTAAGAAATGTCACATCCTAGCAAAGAAAACAGAACAGTTTCTATGACGATCAAAGTTGTTTGCCATTGACATGTGGTCTCAACTTTGGTAAGTGAGTTTGTTCAAAATTTCCTCTGTTCACCCAGCCAAAAATGGGTACCTGGTGGGATATGTCATATGAGTTTTAATCTTCTAGCACCTCACAGGCAATTCGGTTATCCGGGGTAATAATGTCCATCATGTTGTATGCGCTTAGAGCATGTCCGTCTGGCATGGAGTTCAGCAAGAAATAGTAGGGCCTTATTATTATTAATGACTAAAAACTACAAGACTTCATTCACTGTCTCCATGTTTCAGTGTCACATTCTCACAAGGTTGTTATGATGTTCACATGCTATCCTCAGAGCCACCCAGCGTTTTTGTAGAATGGCGCCATCTCCCTCCTGCCATCAGCTTCAAAGGGCTTCACCAGTTACTGAGTACCTATATCTGAACCTGCTTTGGTAAGGTTTTTGTAAAATTGGAAGGGTACTAAAATTCATTTGGAATTCAAACATGACATTCATATCAAAATGGAGTCAGTATACAATAAAAACAAAAACAAGACACCATCATCACCATCATCAAAAACACACTTGCCTAAAAGCTGACCCTGGTTTGTCTAAAGACTAAGTTCACTTTACTTAGTCTCAATAAAAGACTCACTGACATCAATGTTAATGGTAAACTGCAGCATTACAACAGTGATATAGACATATTGCAAGTGTTCTCTCCAATTGTACAAGAATGTGAATCTGCAGATATACTAACACCACTAACAGAGCAAAAAAGCGAGGGGTGCGGGAGTGCTCCTCCCCACCCCCCCAAAACAAAAATCCGCCCCTGCATGTAAACATATATGGGTATGACAGACAGTGTGCGAAATAGCCACTGGCCCATGGCTAGTAAAAATCCAGTCGGGCCAGTAAATCTCCCCAGTCATTAGCCCGACTGGCCGGTGAATTTTCAAGGGGTCATTTTGTAAATATATCACTCTCTCCGACTTTTTAAGTTATAATACATCTTTAAATCATCCAAAATTATGGCCTGATGTTCATCATAATGATGTAACCCTTGTCTACATTCAAATTTTGAATTTTGGGCTAGTGAATTATTTTGTGGGCTAGTAACTTTCAGGCATAGCTAGCCCGACTGGCTAGCAAAATTGGAAACTATTTTGCACACTGATGACAGACGCAGTATCAGATGCTTTGAAATCTTTGCAGCACAATGGCCATGATAACTGCCATCTGCCCACGTAATATTGCAGTACAATAAATCGTGTAACGTGTTGTTGATCACCCACTAGGGATATTAGTGACAAGTACATACCCATCCTGGTCAACCTGCAGCTTGTTGTGTTGAGTGATGGCGTCCTGAACACACTCCTCCAGCATCCGGACATGAGCATCACTGGCCACAGAAAGACAACACACAGTTATCCCCCTTTACCCACACACCCTGATCATTTCAGTTTTCACGGAGGAAAGGTTCAGGCATTTATCAAAACCTTCTCCGAAGACAATAATCAGTTGCATGCTTTAGCTAAAGCTGGTCTACAGCAAGTCATTACAAATTTTAAACTTTGAATTGCCAATTTCCAATTCAGGTTTTATAGTATTGCTTTAGGCTTGCAAATACGTCACACATTAAATGATTGTTTGTTTGTTGTAGTGAATGCAGCACTCAGCAATATTCCAGCTATATGATGCCGATCTGTAAATAATCAATTCTGGACCAGACAATCCAGTGATCAACGGCATGAGCATCAATCTATGCAATTGGGGTACAATGACATGTGTCAATCAAGTCAGCAAGCCTGACCACCCGATCCCTTTAGTAGCTTCTTACAACAAGCATCGTTTGCTGAAGATCAATTCTAACCAGGTTCTTCACAGGTGCATTTAAATAATAACAGGATCAATAGATATTGACAAGGTATAGTATAGATGACAAATGCCTCATTATAATTAGTTCGGTCCAGGCACAATGTACCAGGGGAACAGGACAACCCACAGAGATTCGATTCTTTTGGCGCACTGGTACCCAAATGTTGGACAACTCGTAGCGAAACAACTGGATCACTTGGACCCCAAAAAGTGAATGTATACTCAATGAAATATATATATGATTTCAAGTGGCTGTTTGTATAAACTGCATCTATGACCTAATGAAGTTATACACATTGACCTGGAAATGATATACGAGATTGACGATATGGTGGTTGGTATACGAATCATCCAAATTTGGGTACGGGGCATGTAATTCAGGGTATGGGTCGACCAAAGAAGCTACAAATATTCCAAAACAGATTATATTCGTTGAGTACAAATCTCTATGGATCTGGATCGTCTTGTAGTGCATTAAAGAGCTACTTCTTCAATACCTGTTTATTAGTGATGTTTCATGATCCAAAATAATCGAAAATCGATCGAAAGAAGGATTAAAAATGATTATCGATTGTAAAAAAACATATTTTCGATTGATAGGAATTTTGTTGTTTTAGTATAACACACTTGAATGAAGTAAACTAACCATAAAATTTGACGAATATTCATGAACAACAGTGTAAACCTATGCGCATTGTAAAATTAAAAATTTTAACCACTTATATTGTTTAATTACAATTCCAGTGTCTTCTTGCATGCGTGCATTTCATTGCATGACAGTATTAGTTATAAAAAACATCAATTAGAAAAAACCTGGGGAAAACCCTTTAACTTGGTTATTACATTAAAAATGTAAGTATTTCAATAATAATTGATAATAGTTCACCACAAGTCCTCCAATAATCGATGGTGGATTTGGTTTTCCGATTCCCAACACTACTGTTTATACAGTATTTCAGGTCCTTGTTCCTGGTGCCAGTTTGGTGGCTTTTCAAACTTTCAAGGCAAAATCAATCATACAGACACCAGTAAGAAGAAACTGACACTAAAGTAATCTCCCTTTGACAAAATTCCCAACTTCACCCACTTCCAACTGCTAACTACTAATCACTTACTGTATGGTAGTCGGAGATGAGAAACCAATAATTTAAAAACAACTATACTTGATACGAATGGTTTTAACAGGCATCCCCTTAAATTTTCTAATCAACCTCGATACTGTTCATGTTCAACACATTCTATAGAATAATACTATGGTTCCCAGCATACCTCTTAAATGAAGTGAGGCAAATGATACGTCCATGATTGTGGACTACCTCTCCGTTTTCTGCTTGATCAGACTGTGCCTCGCTGGGTTCGCACATCACCTCGACGGCCCGAGCCAAGCCGTGCATCACACTATACTCATCCTCAGACTTGTTGCGACTTGTCGGTGGACCGAGATGAGCCAGGGCTATCATCAGCTAGAATATGGTATTTCATAATAAAGGCTTTGTCATGGATCAAAGTACAAACTATACTTGTGAGAGACTGAGTTTGGTATAAGGGACCGTTCATAATTTATGGCTAGGGGTAGGGGTGGTTATTGCAGAGAATTTTCATATTGCGATATATTGCAATGCGAAAGCATATATTGCGATATATATTGCAAGAAGCTTTTTCAACAAAAGAAACTACTTATACTTGAGTTAATGCTTGATTTATAAAACAAAAACAAAACAAAATCATCTTGTTTGATTAAGCTTTAATAAAATCTTTTAATCCTGACAAAATAAAAATGTAAATAATATTTGGCACACATGAAACAAGGCAATATCCGAAGATTTCCGAGTGTTACGAAGTTTTCCGAATGCATGTCAAAATACCGGTTTTCGATCAGCTTATCGCAATACGTATCGTTTTCATGTCTGAAACCGGTTATATTGCGCAGCCCTAGCTAGGGTTGGGGTGGGGTGATGATGATTTTTATGGAGAAGCATGTACAATGAATGACCCCCTAAAATTTATGTACAAAGTAAGTGACACACACACACATGACATGTGCAAAATCAATTACCCCCTCCCCCTTTCCATATTTCTTAAGCATAATTTTTAAGTACAAAATTGATGACCCCCCTACAAATGTGTGACAGTTTGTCAGTTTGATATGGGAAGAACGCCGTTTGGGATGCAAGGCATGAATGTTTACCATCTTGATAAAACCAATTAGCAAGGACATGGTACTGACAAAAACTGGACAAATCTGGACATGCTAGATGAATAATCTGAGATTCAAATAAACGGTCATAGGTGTCTGGCACACCTAAGGGACGTAACTTCTCTGATACTGGACGAGTTCCGCATGAGACGACTAGGTAACCTATGCCACCAACTATTTATTATCACATGAGATATTATGAAGGATATAATCCACATGACCTTAGATCTTACAAAACCTCACCTGCTGTAAATTTTGTTCTTTCTGAGACCATGAATTTAGAGAATGATTTCCAGTGACAATGCGAATCTGAAAAACACAAACAAATATATTCAAATTTTCACATTCCAGTTTGCAGTGATTTAGTATTTCGACAATACATGCCTAAAATAAATACTGTGATCAGATTCTTTACACATAATGCTTTATAATATTTTGCACTTTATCATGTTTAAATACGGGTTGTTGAGAACAATGAACTTTACACCTTGGATATTGAGAAGTTAACCCTCTAAGCATGATATCTAATCATGCCAATTCATTGAATATGCAGTTAGCATAGTTAACACTATATAACAATGAATTAAGTGTATTTGCAACAAACACTAATCAACAGTTATAATGATAATCATGCACTACGGGTATGCTGGATGTATCACCATGCTTCAATGTATAAAATAATTTCAGGATTTTCTGACAAGGGATTCTACACAGAGGAGCCGAAACAGACTATTATTTTAGCTACAAATCATGATAATGTCAAAGGATATCTGCTGCTGTTGAAAAAAATGTTCCTGTCTGACAATTATCTCTTTGAATAATCCCCATGACACAGATTTTACACGATACATTTACACTGGAAACCTTTTATCTCCATGATCTATGTGGGACCAATTCCCTGAGGAACTGACCCTTGATAATTTTCACATCATTTGGATACATACCAGCTTTCTCACTGGGTAGATGTCAAACACAATTCGCATGTATTCCATCATGCACTCCACGCTGCAGGTCCATAACGTCTTTGTGATGGGAGCCGCTGGGATAATGCCTGGTGTTTTGGACCTTGTTATAACATCATATTCAATCGGCTGTTTACTGGACTTGCTGAAATACGGATGTCTATCGAGAACAAAAAGTGTTTTGTGTGACGATTTCAGAGAGTTCGCAAACACTTGATCCGACATGCAGTCTGACATAGCCATGTTGACGGATTTCTTTATACGCTTCTCGCTTAGATCTTTGGAGATGTTTGACAACCAAACAGGTTGGTCTTAACTTATTTGTTTGTTGTATTATTTTAAGGAACACACCCTTTTCCTGGATTTCAGCTTGATGCACAACAGCTGTACCGCAGCACGCCCGATGACAACTACATATCCGGACTTGTAATACTGCCAACCGTCTTCTCCAAATTGTTTATATGGTCTCTGATTCATGTAAACAATATTCGTGCTCTCCCGCCTGATCAGGTAGCATGTCAAATGGGCGCTGCCATTTTTAAAAGACCCGGATGAAAACAATTCTCATTTTTTATCAATATTGTTATTTATTTGTTATATTTTCCTTCGTTACATGTATCAGCTCACTGAAATGTCCAAAATAAGTAACAGTGGTCCTTTGTTTCAAAATATACTGGATTTTACCAAGATTAAGGGCCATGGATATGGACTGGGTTCCTGTCTATCTACTGTACACAAGTAAAGCGCAAAGTTTGCTGCGCGAACCTTTGGTGGCGCCAGTTTAGAAATTGGATGCGCAATCGCATGTTCCGCACAGCTATATGAGGACCAGTTGGCGTTGCCATAACAAATTCATTTGTGACAAAATGGCAGCCGAGGAAGGACCAAGACAGCTGGACGCTCATGAATACCTGAATAAGCATAGAATTATTGACCTTTTCAACAATTTAACGTCCCATATGATATACAGCAGACCTGGTAAATATATTACGATCATTACTTGATTTTAAATTTAAACAGTCATTGTTGATATATCCGATACCCAATTTTCATGTAAACATTGGCTTAGATCCTTATCATCAAATAACTGGCGATTACGCGCAGAGAAGTTAAATTATGTATTATGTATTCTGTTTATCACAGATGACCCCAAGAAATTCCTCATCAGCACACTGGAGAAGCTTCACAAGTGCCGGACTACAAAGCTAGATATTCCATGCCTATTTGACGATTCCAACATCCACGCTGTGTTTGGAATGCTTGATCCCACAAACAGAGGCTACATCACCCTACAGCAATACAATGAAGGTAGGTTGGGTAAGAGTTCCTCCCGTTCCCCCATCCCAAATAATATTTATAAATATACTAAAATTATTAACAAAACTTAACACAACAATTACTAGAGAACTCACAAAATGACTAAAAGTCCAAAATTTAAGTTAGGGTTAGGTTTAGAGTTAGATTTAGGGTTGGGGGAACGGAAGGAACTCTTTCCGTAGGTTGTCATGGTTACTTTGGCTGAAGGTATCGTTGTAGGCATGGGTACAACAGATATGAATCCCAGGTGTTCAGAATTCTGTATTCAGAAACATACCTCAGCCAAAATCAGAACACAGAAACTGACCCTAGCACAAGTACATTCCGCATTGTGCCGTTTTCTTGTTCAGAACTGTCATAGTGTATGAGGTGCATTTGATTGCATTTGATAAAAAATGAGCATACACAGTAACAAATAAATATTTCGTGATGCACAATACCACTCGCAATCAGGGGAACAGGAACTGCTACATACAGATTTGGTTTTGGGTTCAGAAATATGGACTCATCTGCGTACTGGGTATGTTTCTGTATTTTGGCTTTGTTTAGGGTACATTTCTGCACACAGAAATGTAGCTGGGTTACAAACCATTGAATATGTCTTGATGTGACTTACTTATACAGATTAGTGAACTGGTGCCTCTCGATGATTTCGGATTTTTATTTTTTTTAATTCTATTTGACTTTTATGACCATGAGTCAGACTTTACTGAATATAACTGAAGTGAACCAATTGAATATTTGAAAATTAAACTTGGCATACAGATCAGTATCAACTGGTGCCTCTTGATTATGTATGATATTGATAATGTACAACATAACTGCTTCCTCCTCTGAACTGACTGTATCCACTGGCAATGAAGTAAAAGTGGTGTTTTACTATTGTAAGTAGATAAACTCCATTTCCGAATTTATTGCACCATACTGGGGATATGTCAACTCCTGATCACTCAGCTCTGGATGATGTCATTTGGCTCATTGGAGGTCTAGGGTATTAGGAGTGAGTTTATTTATTAGTTTTACGCTGCTTTTAGTAATATTCCAGCAAAATCATGGTGGGGACACCAGAAATGGGCTTCACACATTATACCTATGTGGGGAATCAAGCCTGGGTTTTCGGTGTGATGAGTGAATGCTTTAACCACTTACACAAAGAGATCTTATTAAGACAAGTTTGTATCAAAGTATTGGAGTTTCAATAAGATCACTTTGTACAAGTGAGTGCTTCAGAACTGAAGTTGAATTTACTTGAAAATATGTATTTCATGTAAACACATGCATGAATATCCTGTGCTGATATGACTTGATATTATCATCACTTTTTCAGCTCTCACAACTCTTGGTGTGAAGACATATGATGATCAGCCAGCTGGTGCGGATATTGACAGGATCTCCTTCGATGTGTTTGTCAAAGAAGCGTAAGTGCATGTAACATCATCATTTTTGTTTATTTATTTATTTTGTTTTTACACAAAACCAAGGTGTACAACAACTCCATTGATATTTAGAATATTTGTGTCATCAGGGATGGAGTCTTTTTGAAGATAGGCTTAAAATGATTTTCACATTTATAACTAACACAGATAAAAAATATTCTGACGTAGATTATGTCTCAATAATTTGTTTTATATAAATGAGGAGGGAGGTAGGACTGTTTTCTATATAGTTTATTAAATAGATTCAGATTCAGTTTATTCAGTAATTGTGGCCTTAAGGCCTACATTACAATTGTTGATGTTACAAAATACTATGCAAGTCATGTGAACTTATGGTTACATTTATGGCTACGCACAGTGAAAATATGTTTGAGATAAATTTCTACAGACTTAACAATCATAATATTCTTAGAATTTAACAAATTTGACAGTGAATGTTTGTCTAATACAGTGTTTGAAAGAAATGGCATATACTTTTTTCGCAAACTTAGATACTTGGTGCATACAAACATGACATGGAACTCATCCTCTATAGAGCCTGTAGTACAATTAGAACAGATCAAATCATTTTTAGATTCTGAAGAAATACCATGTTTACGTGCCCTATTTACACAGAAATCATGAAAACCATTTCTTAATTTACATAAAGCTCTTATCAAAGATTTATCATGAAAATTTAAGATATACGATTCTGGTTCTAGCAACGACTTATGAGAGGCATAATATTCTCAATATCTAGAAGTACTAATGGACATAGACCACTCTTGAATGAAAATATCACATGGGCGCTGTTTGAAAAGAGATATGAAACAGTCTTCATTGCCAACCCCTTGGGCAAACCATACATAGGAAAATGCAGTAGAAAAGAGTAATAGTCTAACATTAGACACCCAGTTAACTTTACCAATATCATCTTGTGATTTCCAAAAAAGATAACTGTTTTGGGTACCTTAAGTAAATGTAAGGCATTTATACCAACTTTAACCAATATTTAACTGCCCTTATTCTGCTAAACACAAACATATTACATCTATCAGTTTCTCCGTATATAGCCTATTAGAAGCAAATTTACCTAGATTTAGAAATTGTTTTAAAAATGTAGTTTGTACCTTTTCTATACAATGAAAATAAGTCATACCCCAAATTTCTGATCCATATAAAAGAATAGGCATTATTTTACAATCAAAGATGGTACAAGCATTTTGGAAAGAAATAAAAGAGGTAGTTTTGAATAAATTATAAACAGAGTAGGCTGCCTTAGATTCTTGTGTTGCCAAACCTTTACTCGCTGTCGACCAATTTAATCTTGAGGAAAATATCAAACTCAGGTATTTATAATATGAAGCACATTTAAGTTTTACATTTCCATAGTACCATTTTTCTTCCTTTTTTAAAACACCGCTATTTCTAAAAAAAATAACATTTGTTTTTTCTAAATTCACACTTAAACCCCATCTCGTGCAAAATTCAGGGTGAACGTTTAACTGTTGCTGAAGACCAATAATAGTATAAGAGAACATATTAACATCATCTGCAAATAATAACATCATAATATCCTCCATATCTGGAGATATAAAAACACCATGTTTACATTTATTATGAATTGTTTATTAAATAGAGGGTAATGAATGATAACACTATTAACAGTTGTTATTTCCCACAATAAATAACAACGCACACATCATTAAACTTGACACTTTGATAATGTCAGTTATCAGTCATGGATGACAGTGTCTGTTTCATGATGTTGGAAGTTTGAAAAAAAAATCATTGCCAGTAACAATGACTGACACACAGATGTAAAAGTGACGCGTCAGTTACCAAGAATCATTACATTTTCAGTCAAAGTTATTGTGTATGCCATAAGTCCAAAATGAGATCTGTTAATTTGAAAAGCTTAAGTATGCCACAACGTCTGTGATAACTTACCTACCCCATGTGCGACAGAGGAAAAGTGTATTGTGACATGCCTATACTTTGTTATATCATAATATTATGTTCTTTGGAACATTTTTTTCACATTTACCACAATGAGGTAGTCAGTGAGAATGGTTTTATGCTGCTTTTAACAATATTCCAGCAATAACAAGGCACAACAGAAATGATCTTCACACATTGAACTCATGTGAAAAATAAGTTCTTTTGTGTGATGAGTGAGAGCTTTTATCACTAATACCCCACCACCATGTTGACCCTGGTAAGCCAGTATATACACTGGTAACCATTATATTACTTTTATTATTAGTCTCGAATTGAAACAAACCAAATTTTCCTCTATACTGACCTACATTGAAGGGGGAATTAGGTAAAATATTGTCATGATTTCACCAAAATGGTAAAGACGACTGGCACCTCTGGACAGCAAGGTTGGACAGAAATAAGCATGTATCTGCTTGCCTGGACCAGTTATGCAGTATTACATGTATTAATGTTAAATGTATCCTAGATGTGATCAGAATTTGAAACCTTTTTGTGGATATGGGCTTAGGTGAATTTCCACTATTTGGGCGAGATGATGGGTCACTTTCCATCCATGTTCAGTGTAGAGTGTTGCTCACAACTGACCATTCATTAGTTCGTTTCGGTCAATGCAGAGCAGTGGTTAAAGCATTTGCTCATTACGCCTAAGGTCTAGGTTCAATTCCCCACATGGGTACCAAGTGTAAAGCCCATTTCTGGTGTTCCCTGCCTTGGTATTGCTATAATATTGCTAAAAGTGGCAAAAAACTATATTCATTATATAGATTTCACCTAAGAACAGTTAATTCAAATAAATGCAATGGACATTTGGACATGGCTGAGTTGCTTTTGATGTGTTCAGTAGTGATCCAAAGGAACATTTTCCATGGAGAGATTAAGAAATGTTTCATTCTTTTGTAACCATGATCTCTCTTGAAACTAAAAACTTCATCAGTTGTAATCCCTGCTGTATAGCGAGTCTTTTGTTCTCTAACATTTTGTGTTGTTCTCTTTCAGGAAGAAAGGGTTAACTGATGCATCATCCACATTCAGCAGCTAGGATAGATCATGCCTTTGTAAATACCTGCCATTGATTTCTTTGTACATATTTGTGTTGTTCAAGAAAAATACATTCTCCCTTGTATCAAGAATAAAACTGTCAAACTGATACATGAAGTCTGTTCTTGTCTCTGGATATTCCTGAACATCTTGGTCAATAGGGCCCGTAAGTAGGTCATGGCACTTTGAGGTGAGGTGAAATTGGGTTTAACGTCGTGCTTGAGAATATTTTGCTAATATGACGACGTGCATGTGTGTGTATGTGTACGTGTGGCTGCTTGTACTAGCCCAGACTTAAGCTGGTTTTATAGTGCTAGCCCACTGAGATACTATGCCGCAGTGAAGCATGAATACCCCACACAGACACATTATACTGACTCCGAGCCAACCAGTCCTTGTTGTACCCATTAATGTCGAGAGCCAGACAGGGACCAACAAGTACCATATTTTAACGTCTTTTGGTATGACGCGGTCGGGGATCGAACCCGCGACCTTCCGCTCTCCAGGCGGACGCGCTAACCACTACACCATGGAGGCGGTCATGGCACTTCGATAGAACTTATGTTGTTTAGTACTTCTGGTGACAAACAACACTTCATACCCTTTCGAATGGTCTCATGGTTGTCAGTTGAGAGTAAGGAACCGATAATCCTTGCAGGAATAACAAATTTCTGATCCTAACCATCCCCAAATTATTAAACTATTAAGACTGTCAACAGCAGTGAGTGAGTGAGTTTAGTTTAATGCCACACTCGGCAATATTCCAGCTATATGGCAGCAGTCTGTCAATAATTGAGTCTGGACCAGACAATCCAGTGATCAACAGCATGAGCATCAATCTACGCAATTGGGAACCGATGCAAGTGTCAACCAAGTCAGTGAGCCTGACCACCTTATCCTGTTAGTCGCCTCTTAGTCAACAGCAGTGACACCCAAACATGGTTGTACACTTGGTTCGGTTTAGTAAAGTCATATTTGGCGTTCACACAATTTGGAACCAGAACTGGCTCTTGAATACTAGTATAAGTTTGGCACCAGATATCTGGCACCAGAAGTAAGCTGGGCCCCGACTCGCATATTGCAAGTTAATGCTTGAAAAGGGAGCTGGGAACCAGCTTAGTACTGGAAGTAGCACCTCACAAGATTTACAGGCCCTATTGCCCAACAGCACTGAGTGACATTTCACAAAAAATCCCATGTCATTAATGGAACCTGGAGTGACACTGTCATATAGTATGGGATGTCACTGTTGTATGGTATTAATGTCAAATTGTGTGACACTGTTACAAGTCATTTCTCTCCAGAAGTGTGGAGCTATACCATCTGTTCATCAGGAGGGCATGAAATTGTTTCAAACGAATTGAGTGACATTGTCATGTCATTGCTGTCCAAAAGTATGGAGTGACACTGTCAGAAGGTAGTGAAATATATGCTTTTCAATTACAATAAGAACGGTAAGACTTTTCGCCTTTTGCCGATGTGAACATGCCATGGGTGTAATTTCGTTTATCTGCCATTTCGTTGCCAGTTCAACAATTATATACACCCGAATCGAAGAACCGGATTACATATTTTTTATGTGTGCGTGTACTTATTGACGTAACCATGTGCTGTCCCTGTTGATGGTAGTGTGCCTTGCCTTGCAATGCCTTTACGTGAATAAAGCCAATAAATACTTACACAAACTATCAGTGACTACTTCGTCTTCTTTTCAGACAGGGGTGGTGGGGTAGCCTAGTGGCTAAAGCGTTAGCTTATCACGCCTAAGACCCGGGTTCGAATCCCACATGGGTACAATGTGTAAAGCCCATTTCTGGTGTCCCCCGCCATGATGTTTCTGGAATATTGCTAAAAGCGGGCGTAAAACCAAACTCAGCCAGTCAGTCTTTTCAGACATTGTTTTCAGCCCAACAGCATTGTGTTACATTGTCACATGTCAATGCTGGCCAAAAGCATGGAGAGACACAATTTTCTGTCCAACAGCATTGTCACATGTCAATGCTGGCCAAAAGGACAGAGTAACCCTGTCACATCATTGCTCTCCAAGAACGTGAAGTAACACTCGCACATGTCTGGACACAAACAACAAAAGATGAAGTTATTATCTGTATTTTATCACAAACAACAAAATCCTAACAACATAATATCTGTAACAGTACATAATATCTGTAACAGCACATGATATACCCAATGACAGGAGTGTCCCCTAGCATCATATCCATATAACAGTGTTACATCCACAAATCACTCGGCCAATGCAATATGAACAATATTTCCTGGGAGATATAGATATATCTCACCCAAAAGATATCTATATGTGAATTTATATACACCCTAACAGAATAATTCATCCATTCAGTGCAGAATATGCACATATCACAACCTGGATTGATGCTGATGTTCAAATCTTATGCACATGGGGAAAAATATGTTTCTCTCATTCACTTCAGTTTATGTACACAAAGGTATTTATCACATAGATTACGGTACGATGCTTTGCACGGCTCGACATTATGCCCTGCTTTCCATTTCCTCATCTTATCCTATCAACAAATAAAAGATGTTGATCCAAATATTGCACTGAAATCAAACTCATTAAGTACAGAATTCCTACCAAATTCAATAGATCATAATATATGACCCACATCATTTAAATTTTATACAGGCTGACTCAAATTAAATAAGAACTTATGCACAGTATTAATACAAACATTTTGGGGCAAAAATATAGATTATCTTTCAGAGTAGTTATCCCAAATTTTGTAAATGTGAAATACAAATTCATTTTCAAGTAAGCTTATTTCAAAACTATGCGTAGTATTTGTTTTATTATAACTTTGATCTGCAATTCCGAAGCACATTAAGTAATGGACCATAACACACCTTCAAATCTGTCTGTAGCATATCCTAAATATTTCACCAACTCTTCAACTGATTTCTCAGAGTAATGATAATAAAATAAATAACAATTATGGCTAATAAAGTTCTTGTAAAACAGAAAAAAAATATAACCAACACAGTTCAAGACGCTGGTAAAGTATGAATTATGCAAATGATTTCACCATACGAGACATCTGATAACACATATGATACTCAACACAATGGACAGGCAGAAGAATTTAAGCGAACACTAAATTGAATGATTGCTGCAGTCCCTTTCTTTCTCATCAAAGTCTAATATAGACCTATAACAAAAGCCATCTATGTACATCATTCATTGTTATTTATATTATGTACAACAATATTTCATTAAAAATATATACACCTCTTTTTTCATACATAAGTGTGTTATCCAAAAAACCTTTCATAAAACTTTAGTTAAAAAATTACATTTTTTAAAAAATTCCTGATCAAATTTGCACCTTCAAAAACAATTTGAAAGTACTTAATTATATTATAAAATCTTTTGTTTTTTTCAAAATAAGTCAACAGGGGTACCAAATGTGTTCTGCCTGAGAAGACTGGTTGTATGAATTTAACAGTGTGTATGCAACAACAGAAATATTCTAAACAACCTGTCATAGCTATCAGATGTATAGTTAGAAGTGAAGGCACTGTATCGATCCAGGTCATTCCATGAATTACGTAACTGAGGCTTGGTATTCTATTATTATCCACAAGAAGCCTATTTTGTTTGTGTTTTCACCAAAATGGACTCCTCAGCAATATTCCAGCTATATGGCTATGGCTCATACATACATGTACTAGGGAGCAGTGAGTGAGTGAGATTAGTTTTACGCCGCTTTTAGCAATATTCCAGCAATATCACGGCATGGGACACCAGAAATGGGCTTCACACGCTGTACCCATGTGGGGAATCGAACCTGGGTCTTTGGCATGATGAGCAAACACTATAACAATTAGGCTACCCTACCGCCCTTAGAGAAAGAACAGTTTAACGCTGCTTTTAGCCATATGGCTCTTTAACCAAAAATCAGATGTTCCTGGCAGGAAAAAGGGTGAATATGGTGCCCCCTTTATTGTCAGTTACCCAAACAACAGGGATCTTGTTTATCTACAACATAAGAATGTGAGCGCTAATTGTGCCAATCAATACAAGCGTCATCATCAGATGGAACTCACATACCAAGTTCCCAACTTAGCAGTCAAGACATTTAAATGGAGATGTTCATTTTCTACATATCTACACAGCAATGGAAAATTTACAAGCATATAGAACCTTTGGTTCAGGTGAGCTAATATGGAATGTCATATAAGTCTGTCAGATTGAAGAGAAAATGACATGAATCAAAACTGAAGGCAATAGCAGAAGCATCATTCTATAACAATGAATCTCTTACTGATATTGTTCGAGTTCTTTAATATCTACAAGCACTGTCAGTATCACATTAAGAATTAGTCCAATTACAAAATAAGCAATTTATAACAAATAACATGAAAATTAAAACAACAATATATATCACAAGAGTTTAAAAAACAACAATTTCTGTAACAATTATATTTTAGCAACAGAGTTAAACTCAGAACAGAACTTACAAGTTCAATTTGTGTTTAGACTTTTGTAAGTTTATTCCACAAGTGCGGAAATACTACCCCAGTTCAACCTGTCAGGCTAACATTACTACTGTAACAGAGAGTGAGTGAGTTTAAAAATATTAATCAATTTCTTAAACAAATTTTTCAGCTCTTAAAGAGCCATGTCATATTTTGTAAGTCTCTATTGTTTTAATCTACCAATGAGCTATCAGCTACTGCAACACTGCAAACTGTAATCCTGCAACACAGCAGACGACATGGCTGCCATTTTGTTTCTGATGACTAGATCATTTAAGTTATCACAACTCAAACTGGAAATTCCTGATAAAAACCTGTGCATATCATGCATGGATTTCCAAACATGTTATGCACATAACATAAACAAACATTATGTCAGTCATATATATGCATGTTTAAATACTAGAGCAATATTGGCACGATTCTTCAGATTGAGTTAAATTAGTCTCTTACTATCTCTCCTTGCGTGAGTTGCATGATTCTGCTACTATCATGTTTACAACCACCATAACAACCATAGTACCTAAACCTGTCCCCTCAGTCATTCATAAACAGTTAAGGGCAAACATTTTCCTCATGATTCTGACTTTTGCTGGAATCCATAAGAACAGGTGCAGAACCACAGGTACTGGACTCCGAAGCAAAATATTAGAACAAACTTAAAATATTACTGGTATCCTTTACAAGATTACATCTGAGAGTCGAACATCTGTGATAGAAAACAGATCATCTCTTGCCCTGTCATGTACACAATAGGATAAGATTGGTACTATCTGTCAAGTCTTAATTATGACGGTATTATTCTTTGAACTCACCAGCTAAGCAAATAATGAACAGTTATGTATGCCAAGAAGCAAGTGTTGTAACAAGTCTGACCATTGCTTCTGTTATTACACAGTAAAGAGTGAAAGTCTTCAGTTCAACATGCTGAATACCCCACAACTAATTATATATTATTAATTATTTACAAATTCAATTTATGTAGTTTCATATTTGCTGACCCGCCATGATCAGTACTGCTAAGAAACATGGAGACCTCCTTTTACATCTGTTCCAATGACGTTACATGATCAGTTGCAATGCATGCTGGGAATGCAGGACGAGATGCTGCTGTTCCCTGAATATCTCGGGTTACAATGTTGATGATGAAACAGAAACCTAGTCTTGTCTTATATTTACAAAGTCTTTTCACACACAAGTTCCTTATGCATAAAATCACAATACACTATTTCCATTGACATGTCCAGGGACTTTTGCGTATGTTAAAGGAAGTTGAGTTGGTTCCCACGAACTTCCCGACTGAATTGAGTTGTCTATGCTATGATCATCACCCATGGCTATATAAGGTCCGAAAAACTGAACAGGGATAGATATGGGATGGAACAGACCCATTCCTCCTGACAACTTGGACTTTCGGAAGCACTCTGGGATACTGGTTGGGTGGATCGATATCGGGAAATAGTGGGTCCCAGCTGGATGTAGAACGAACCCGGGGAGAGGAACGTTTGATGAAGACTGCACATTCAGACTTTGGTCAGGTGGAGTGTTGCTAGAGTCACTTCTGACAGCAGACACATCTCCATGGTAGGAGCTTGTACCGTTGGAGGTGTTTCCTGAACTCAGTTCGCTAGAGCTAGGGTAGGGAGAAATGCGTGATCCTTGGCTTCGTGTCTTTCCTTTGGAGATCTTCCTCCTCTGCAGTTTGCCAGCATCTTCCCTGGAACTGCTACAGGTGCTGCTTGTGTCACTCGGATGGCTCACATGCTTCTCCTGAGAGAATCTTTGTGTAATGTTGTGTTTGAACTTGTATATGCTGCCTTGTCCTCCCCCTCCACTGCCCGAACTGCCCTTCTCGGAGTCCGGTCGTAAGAATTCTGTGAAAGAAGTCCCGTCACTGGAATTCGTGGAGTAGTGCCCTTCAGCTCGGGAGTATGGCTTCGTTAAGGATGACAGACTGAGATGGGAACAGGCGTCTGACCGGTTGTTTCGGTGTCCGTCATCTGAATCTATTATTCGCTCATTGTTGGTAAGGAGATTACGTAACTGTAGATCAGAGTGGTTGGACTGGCCAGAACCTTGCTGGTTGAAGAGACCCTCGGGGAAGTTACTCCGAATGTCAGACGTCTTAATCTCAGGTTTTTCATCCGCTGGAATTCTTGACACTATTTGAAAAAAATGTTATTGTTAAAATAGTAACAAATCAGAAACTACAAGTCTACAGAGACAGCTTAAGTGTTCAATTCAATGATGATATATAAATATACACATTTATGATTTCCTCCAGTTTTTCTTTCTTTTTTCCCCGTGTTTGCACTCAGCAAATTCATAGTCACATGACAGTGTAAACCATCAAAACAATCCAGTGACTGATATCATGAACATCAAACATAACTGGAAGCATGCATCAACCAAGTCAGCAAGTCTGACAACCCAATCCCATTACTCGCCTCGTAAGACAAGCATGGGTTGGAGAAGACCAATTCTAACACGGATCTTCATGGGGTATCTCAAGTATGAAGCAAAATACACAATACACCCAAATAAAGTATGTTCCTGCAAAAATCGGGGCGGTGGGGTAGCCTAATGGTTAAAGCGTTGGCTCGTCACAGCGAAGACCCGGTTCGATTCCCCACATGGGCACAATGTGTTAAGCCCATTTCTGGTGTCCCCCGCCGTGATATTGCTGGAATATTGCTAAAAGCGGCGTAAAACTAAACTCAGTCAGTCAGTCCTGCAAAAATCAAGGATGAGGATAACTAAGCTGAAACACTATTTGAATGATAGTTGAACAGATCCTGTCAAAACTAAGGGCCATAATAAGTATAGTTGAATTTAAAACATGGCCAAAAAACTTCACATCCCATGTGACTACAGTGTAAATAATTTGCATCCAACCTCAATTTTCATATCCCAGTAGGATGCATTATTCTGCAAATGGTAACACTTTGCACCATTATCCTTGCTGGTTAATGAAAGGCTCCATAAGTTAATTTGTTTGTTGCTCAACCTTGCACTCAGCAATATTCCAATTATGGCGGCGGTCTGTACATATTTAAGTCTGGACCAGATAATCCAGTAATCAACAGCATGAGCATCGATCTACACAATTGGGGTACAATGACATGACTTAACCAAGTCAGCAAGATGACCAACTGATCCTGTTTAGTCGCCTTTTACGACAAGCATGAGGTGCCAATGAGTAATTCTAACCCAGATCTGCTCCATAAGTACCTGATGTGAGAAGTTTCTCCCCGGCAACTGTAAGGTGACCCATGACCCGGTCACAGAAACTGTCACTCGCACACATTCCTTCGCTCTCCACGAGGTACCGCATCACCTCGTCCTTACATTCCTGATAACCCAGCGACAACTGCGACACACAGCAATGGTTCAGTGATTGAGACTGGGTGGGAAGCGCTGTCGACGTTTCTGAAATGTTAGAAAATACATCAGATGATGGCCAACAGCTCCATCAATGGAGTGAGTTTAGTTTTACGCCAAACTCAGCAATATTCCAGCCATATGGCGGTGGTCTGTAAATATTAGAGTCTGGACCAGGAAATCCAGTTATCAACAGCCTGAGCATCGATCTGTGCAATTGGAAACGATGACATGTGTTAACAAGTCAGCGAGCCTGACCACCCGATCCCGTTAGTCGCCTCTTACGACAAGCATGGGTTACTGAAGATCAATTCTAACCCGGATCTTCACAGGTGCAGATTCTAGAGGCATTGAGTGTGCTTATGCAAGGACATGCAAGGATTTGTCCGACACAAAATGGCATCAGGAAATAGATACAAGCTTGCCTTTTTCAATGATAGGTTGCACTGTTGCTTGTTTTATTGTAACTGAAGCTAAACTTGATTGCATTTGGTGCAGAAAGTGAAGTAAATGAAACTGTACTCCGTGGTTGCTTGTACTAGTCCAGACTAATGCCAGCATTATAGTGCTAACCATGAGAGATACTGAGGCTAACCCACGCAGAACACAATATACTGACAACGAGCTAACCAGTTTGTGTTTCATTCTCTTAATGCCAAGCTTCAGGCTGGGTTACAACCAGTACGATCTTTCATCGTTTACTGCACACTGTATGTTTTGCAGAGAACCTGAACGTACCAGCTTTCTCCAACTTCTCTGTGAGTGTATTGATCAGTGTAATTGCCATTTCAATAATCTCGGTCTTCTCGATACGACCTTGACCCTGTAAAGAAGAATTAACAACATATAAAATTTATGCATCATGAATTGTATGTATGCATCAATATATGTTTTGGAGAAAGAAATTCACATATTTTTATTACAAAATTGATTTGAATCTGTTAAACAAACAACAAACACTTTTTATGGTTTATATTCAAGGGAAGTGATATAATCGGGCTAATACACAGGGTTCCCCTTGACGTGAAACCTGCGTATATGACGCAGTGTAAAGAGAAAAAAAAACATAAAAAAAACCCCACTGTGTCGCTTCTGACGCAATAAAATCACCAATTAAAACTACACAATTCAATGCTATAGGTAATAAATGTAACTAAATTGATTTATGATTTCAAACTGATTCGAAAGTACACAGGTCGCATGCACGAAGCTGACATTCCATTTCTAAATATAAATCTATGTCACTTAGGCGGGTAATTCATTTACATAAAGTTCCGTCTCATTTGCACAGAACCTGGCTAAATTTGGTTAGTGTTTCTCTGGTGTTAAAACATTAACATTTGATTGAATGACATGATTGAAGTGGTCCTATTTTTATACACTCGTGACCTCTCTTATCGCTTTCGTTAGTCGCTATAAATAGAAATATGGACTTTCGGGATATGGGGTGATTTACATGGTTATACACACAAACAAATGTAAAGACATAATTATTAGCATTCGTTGATATTTATTAATTTTTGAAAACTTAATTATTTTGAACACTGTCACGTCATCAACTGTAAATTAATCAGAAATATAGCTCATATCCGTTTCGGAAGATTTTGTACCTGCCAAGCTGGGGTTTTCCAATATTATCGTCATAAATTGAGAGTGTCCAATGGAATAACAATATCGTGTCACATGACATACGTCATCTATTTAATTCTGTCTAGAGGGTTTTGATACTAATTTTATAACGAATGATCATCTGCTATAGACAGACTGTTGTCTGCAATAATGGAGACGAAAAAACAGTCTTTGTTACAAAAGTATTTTGGTACAGATTCTGTTGAAAAGCCAGGCACGTCAACTGACCATGGTGATGACCATGACTGTGATGAGTTTGATTTATCTAGAAAGAAGCCCAGACTGCCAAGATCCTTACGGAACTCATGAGGTGAGGTGAGGTGAAATTGGGTTTAACGTCGTGCTTGAGAATATTTCACTCATATGACGACGTGCATGCGTGTGTATGTGTATGTGCGGCTGCTTGTACTAGCCCAGACTTAAGCTGGTTTTATAGTGCTAGCCCACTGAGATACCATGCCGCAGTGAAGCATTAATACCCCACTCAGACACATTATACTGACTCTAAGCCAACCAGTCCTTGTTGTACCCATTAATGCCGAGCGCCAGACAGGGACCAACAAGTACCATATTTTAACGTCTTTTGGTATGACGCGGTCGGGGATCGAACCCGCGACCTTCCGCTCTCCGGGCGGACGCTCTAACCACTACACCACGGAGGCGGTCTACGGAACTCATGGCTACAACATTACAAGTGGTTGCATTTCCACACTCAATCAGAGATGATGACAAATTTTGACTTTGACTCCCCTCAAAAGTTTGGACAGTCAACATAACCCCCAAATATACATGTCTAGGGGGAACCCTGAATACATGTAGGAGATAGTTGCACTCTAGTGCTGCTGTTTTGTTTTATGCATAACTGAATCTGATTCAGTCAAACCATTGATCCAGTTATCAATGAATCATGGCATAACGTAAAGCTTTGCAATAATTGTTTATCATACTTTCCTTTCATAGTGACAAGTTAGGAAATTGAAAACTTATCGTTTTCCGAACAAATTTATCCTGATCCGTTAGACATTGATCCATACTATCAGCGGAATGAACATGTACTCACTTGTTTCATATAACTTGCAGGGATGAGTCGGCTGAGATCGGCTAAACAGTTGTTCATCCGATCTCGCCTCCGTTTCTCTATGATACGGTGGGACATTGGGTCCTGGAAGAAATATCAACACATTCAATAGAAAAATGTCTGCTTTCAACAGAATTCTCAATGCACAGAAAATTTTAAAATATTTTAATCATAAGCTACTGTTATCAGGAAAGCAAAAATGGAAAGGAATGGATGATTGAAAATCAGCGACACTGTGTTTGGGAAATAAATGAGCATGTGATTCACCAGTCGCTCCGCAATCTTTTAACATCTTTTAGTACACTGATGCCATTAATTGAACGATTGACTATCGAATGGGCAAATAGTTCGCACAACAGACACAGGCCTTAACATTTGAGAAGGATGTTATTGGCCTTTATCACCACGATGAAACCCAGCAGGTCATGCATGGAGCTTATATTGCTGGCATCATAATTCAGGATCAATTGCTAAAAAGGGACACAACTCTGCATAGCAAACATCACATGATCTACCTATCACTGTCAGACACAGGCCATAACATAAGAGAAGGATGTTATTGACAGTTATCACCATGAAGGAACCTAGGGGTTATGTATGGAGCTGATTGTCCTGCCATCAAAATTCAGCACATATTGTTAGAAGGGACACAACTCTGCATAGCAAACATCACATGATCTATCTATCTCCGTCATGAGCAGTATACACTCAGTATCTCAATTTGCAAGTCTTACCCGAGGGGTTTTGTTTCTGTGGATCGTTTTGGTCTCAAAGTCGTCACCGCAGATGTTGAAATTCAAGTGTCTGAAACAGAAACAGACCACCACAAGCATTGCGGTTCATTGCGGTTTTTGTACTGCATGGATGAACATTCATAATTCTCATATTCATATGAACATTTTATACGTTTTTTCATTAAACAAACTACTAACACTTACATCAGCCAATCAGATAACACCTGTCAGCTTCCAATAAGGATAGGAGTTGCATAAAGTATTGATTTTACCACCATAGCTTTGTTTCTGTGTAGTTATCATAAAAAAAAGAAAGAGAAAAGATAAAGATAATTTACACTGAATAACTGAGGATGTACTCATCTCTAAATCAAAATATACTTTAGAATACATAACGCTAAACTACAATCACAACTGGCAGATCATTAAAACCAAGCAAGTACTCCAGAACGTTTTCTGTTGGGTGCCAAATGTTCGAGTGAAAAGTTTGGGTGAATAGTTTGGCTCAACTAAAACAATGTCAAACTTCAAACTGAAAAGGACTCCCTTTGGATAGTCAACAGCGGCTTTCCGCTGGCAACATAACGCTGTATGAAACAGAAGCATCCTCCTAGTGGCCATGACTCGGTTCTGTCTAGTGATGGTTAGCACTCAGAATCACATGACTTGGGTCTCTCTAGTCATGGCAAGCACATGCAACCTCCAGCTGCTCAGGGATACAGACAACAGCTGAAGTCGAGATTCAGATCAGTTGGGTTAATTAAATCCTCAAGACAGTTATAACCAAAGATCATAAACATAGTTCACCTCTAAAACTATTCTTTCTTGTTACGTTTAAATAGCTGTAGTAGTCTACAAAAATAAACTTTATGATCGTAACATCCAAAAACAACGGTTGTCAAAAGTGAAAGATGGCAATAATGGACAGAGGTACATGTAACAGTACAGAAGAATGGTACACTGAACTGTACAAGAAGGGCACAGGAAGAGGTACATTAGACTTACAAGAAGGGCACATGGGGAGGCACATTAGAATAGAAGAAGGGCACCATCCAGTACACGAGGGGACAGGACAGTGATTAACAGGGTAGACACAGAGGATACAAAGATCAGTTGAACCAAGAGATCAAGAAATTTAGGGCACAATGTGACGGCTTAGATTGCGGCCACAAATCAGTATCACAGCGACCTGGTTTGTAGGGGGGCAACAACAGATATTGACACCTGGAGTAGACTCAACTCCAAAAAGTAGAACATAAACTCCAAGCTATGATGCAACAATTCATCAAGAATAGTACTGTTACACTAACTTCCTTTCTTTAATCAATAAAACCAAAGAGTATTTGAGGTACAACTTACATGGGCGAAAAATATACACTGTCAGGTGACCTGAAAATATTGTGTGTACCATACTGCCATATCAAGAGCCTCGGACAACACAAGTCCAGACAAATCTGTAAGTAATCTAAGCCCGGCACCAAGCTTCAAACATCACATGACAACCTGAATTTTCCTGTGCAGGTTGCCATGGTTTCAGATCACTTTAAAGTAAAGAGTCATGTCCTTTGGGTATTTCAATGTCCAGTAACTGTAACCAAATGAAATTTCAGACTGAACTAATTTTGTTCTCTATTGCCTGATTGCAGCCAAATTTAATTTGGGTATGGTTCCAATAAGCAGTACCTTTTTACTTTTTTGATGCTTTTGGCACTTGTTATGGCAAGTATGATTTTTCCAGTTATGATATTAAATGAAATATAGGCTATAAAAAACTTTCTCTGGAATTAAATATCATCAAAATCATATGATAGTGCTCTCAATCTCATCAAAATAAAGCTCCCTGTTACACCAAGCAATCATGGCATAAGGATGATTGTAACTCCTATACCATAACACTGACTAAAAACACTTATGACAAGATTGCTTAGTGGAACAGCGAATATTGGAATCTGACACTGCTATGTAAAGATCTGATGATATCATCTGGTTAATAATAATTCTAATAACTTCTGAACAAAGTAACAGATTGAAATTACTTTTTCCTATCAATAGGGCTGGCAATCAATTTAGATGATAGAGATTAATAATCACTAAATATCGATCGATTATCGATTAATATCTGAGATGTAACTTTGAGCAAAAATAAATATATTTCAAATCAGTGGTGAGTGGCGGCATGTTTGTACATCTATGATTAACAAAACAGCATCCTGAATATAATTTAGAAGCAGACCATGTATAATGTCTTAAATTTGTATATTAAGTCAGAAAATTTAAACATTTTTTATCACAAAAGTTAATGTACAATATTATCAATAACAATTTTTTTTATCGATAATCATTAATAATTATTCATATCAATGATATTTCCGATCATCAGTCATTTTAGCCAGCCCTACCTGAATGAAACAAGCATATCACATTGAATTATTCATGAATTACAGGCTTCCACAGCACACAGCAGTTAATCTGACTGTTTTTACACCCCTAGAGTAATGACTAAGCATGGATATAAGGATATCTAGTCAAAGGCACCCCATAAACAAGGGCTACAACATTCCATGGAGTCCCCTTATTACCCCTGGAAGTAACACTGTCTTTGACCAATTTGATATACTCTATGGAACAACATATTCATGATGTAACATGATATAAAATACAGCTTAGCATATTTTTCAAAAAATAAAATGTTAATGCAGAAATCAATGGGAAAATGTTTGGTTTTGTGTGACCTAGAGGTGTGTCAGCCATTGCGTCTTGCAACACTGAGTTACCTCCCTTAGTATACATCTTTCAAAAAGAACACTGCAATGTTTAGTCTTCTTTGTGACTTTAAGCCACTGGGATTAAGCAAATCGGCGTAGCTGTTGCCAGGGGCAAGGATGGAATGGAGAATGTAATAGCCCTTGATTTGGGGGATGTATGGCCAGGTAGGTTCTGAGTTTTCTCACCTGCTCTCTTCATCATGAACAATCCCCTTGTCCTGAGATCCATCTAGTCTACCAGACCTGAAAATAAAACACCAGGGTCAGAAAAGATTTCACTGGGATTTAGCCCGATCCATACATCTGTGAGTCTTCGGAACACTCAGAAATGCATCTTAGTTTAAGGATATTGTAAAAGTAATTGCCTTTTAAGTGCCAATGACATGGCCAAGTCAAATTGTTGGCAAGCCTGACATACACCTAGTTTGATGATCCATCAAAATGATATTATTCTAGTTGGCAGCCTTCAATTCCAAAAAGTATCTGAATGAACTCCTTGTGGCAGAGTTGAAAATACATTCACAGTTTCAGAGTCATTGACAGAGTGGGAGGAGTCATTGGCAGAGTGGGAGGAGTCATTTACAGAGTGGGAAGTCAGCCAGACAATCATAAAATCAGTGTTATGAGTGGGGCTATGACTGCTGTTTAATAACAGCAATAGTTGAGCAATGTTGAGCTAACACACACACTGCATTGAACATAACCTTAAAATACATCTGAACTGGACCAAAAAAACAACAAATTGGGCCATAGTATCAATTTAACCCAATTTTTCTCCCAGGGTTCCTTACAATTGTGAATAAAACCCTGGATGACACACAATCAAACAGTCACAAATCAGGTCACCACTACAATCCATACTTTTGTCAGCTCTTACCACGCTGACAAGATTTGATGAGTGAGTATGGTTTTACACTGCTTTTAGCAATATCACGGCAGAGAACACCAGAAATGTGCTTTACACATTGTTCTCATGTTGCGAATTGAACCTAGGTCTTTGGTGAGTGAGTGAGTGAGTGAGTATGCCTTTACACCGTTTTTAGCAATATTTCAGCAATATCACGGTGGGGGACACCACAAATGGGCTTCACACACTGTCAAACCCGGGTCTTCAGCGTAACAAGCAGACACTTTAAGTTCCATTAGACTACCCCACCACCCCTCCTTTAAAAGAAATCTTGCGACGCTACTTGTCACGTGATCATCCTCTTAATATTTCAGTGAGGTTTCATAATCAGCTGAACAATAATCAGCAAGATCTACCTGCAATCAGGACAAGTGTGTTTGCGTGGAAGATAAAACATGCCGACCTTCAGATACATGACATGCATTAGATAAGGGAACAAATACTCATGAGTCAACACCTTTCTCAAAATAGCACACACGAACAACTATCATTTTGTTCAATCTGTTAAACTGGTTGGTAAACTTGGTAACTTTCCTGACAAAAATCAACCAAACTCACATGTAATAGCAACCCTCTTAAACTTGACGGTAAAGTTTCTGTAGCCGAATGTAAATATTGTGTATTTTAAACGTAAGTATATAATTCAGTTAAGCAATATAACAACCCTTTGAATAAACACAGCACTCTACTAATCCTTAGGTTAAGTTAATTAAATCTTTCAAATTAATTTGAGTTAATACATCATGGCTTTGGAGTACAGTCACATTAAATTCAAACAAAAATGGGTACGATTTCTGACTTTTGACAGTGTAAAAACCTTGTACAATAAATGGTACATGGGTTTTAAAAACATTCCGAACATCCTTTTCTAGTACATCTATGTACATGGAAAAATGAGGATATCACATTCGAAATATGTCGTACACTGTTGTCAGACTCCCTATTATTTTCGGTACCCTTGGTCTGGTACCTTCTAATGTCTTAGCCCCTATCAGGAGAGTGCCCAAGTATGCCACCATGAACACAGCACTTCTGACTCATTGGGTAATGCAGAAGCAATGTGCGAAATAGTTTCCAAATTTTGCAAGCCAGTCGGGCTCGCTGTGCCTAAAAGTTACTGCCCAGGGGTGGAAATAACTTTAAAATTGCTAGTGTACACAGGTACAGTGGCACATGTAAAATCACTTGCCCTGATAATTTTTCAGGAAATTCTTGCTGGGTTTGACTAGGCAGTGTCCACTGGGAGAAGTCACCGTCTTGGCTCCATGAAGTGGGAGCAATTAAGGTACCAGAGCTGATGCTGTCGTCTCACCTGCCACACTATGCCAGAACCACCTGACCTCTCTCTACTAAATTTTAATTTTAATCCGTAATTTTTTTAAAAAATAATTAGAAATAAACTAATGTTCACATTTCTAACTAAGCACACATGACCTTTACATGTTTGAATGAAGTTAAAGCTATATACTGAATGATCAGATTTTCAGAAAGATCAGGGGCCAGGTAAAAACAATTCCCTTCTGGACATTTTGTTCCAAACTCGTAAGACCTACAGCAGATACCTGGTTAGGGTGGGGTAAAAGGGGATTGGGTACCTTTGTTGCAAAAGTTATTTTATTGGAAAATGGTTAAAGAAATTTCAGGTGTTTCATGGGCGGATCCAGGAATTTTGCACAAAAAAAAATCTTCAATGTGGTCTTAAGTCATTTTCAAAAGGGGGAGGGGTCGCCCCCCGCCCCCCCCCCCAGTGGATGCGCCCATGTGTTTTATGGTTCTACAAAACAAAGGCATACTACACCATTAACTCCTTTTCATACAGAATTCAGATTTGAAAGATATTAAGGGAAACAGCAAATCAAACTGTACTGAATACACGTCATATCTAGTGGAGTGAGATGTGACAGAAATATACTACACGTGACTTTCCTTACTAACAATCTCTTCTGATCGACTGAAATAATCAATTTTACATCAGCAAAATATACTCATTTATTCACAGTTGAATATGTAGAAAATTCAACAACATTATTTGCCACCAAATGTGTCTGCAATCGGTTTTAAACGATCGAGTCTGGATCATTCTAGTTAAATTTATTGCGCCAAATACGGTAATCCGTGCTCGAGAGCAGTCACGTTTTGTGCACGTTGTCGACGCGAGATACCAACAGCCCGTAAACAAAATTCAATGGCTGCGAGAAACACGCCCGTTGCAAAACCACCAGCTTACTGCACTAACTGATAACTAAAATGCAATATCACAGAATACATTACATCCACAACAAATGCCTTCAATGAAAAATGTATGGGAAAGTATACAACCGACATTAAACATATGCAGGTGATGTCTACCCAAGCTGCTCGCTCAAAACGTAAACAGTATCTGTATATATTCTTACCGAATCCCGCCTTCGTCTTGTCCACGTCCATTACTCCCCTCAAAATCGTTGGAATCCATACAGGGGTTTATCACTGAATGTGAATGTATACTAGGAACAAACTAAAACACCATCTCCTCTCGCGTACACGTTGTTTCGTCTGCACACATTTTGACAGAAGTTGCCTCTGGATAATTCACGTGTATGGCCATGCTGTGACGTCATAGTCACGCTTCTTCGACACGTGCTTCGGTGTGTACTATGCTTGGTGCATAAAACCAGCCGGCAGGTAGCAAGTCGTGCCACATTCGTCTTGACAGTGTCTCAGATTGAGAGGATGCTATGTTTAACCGTTTATAATGATGGGAACTGTCAAATAATCGAATGAAAAAATAATTTCCGTTCATATTTTTTTTAATGTTTCAAAAAAAATGTGATTGAAAAGAAACCCAACCAAACTGTTCATGTCAAATGTAAATCAGAAAATGTTCCAAAGATATTCTGGACAAATTATTTGAAATGCTACATAAAATATGTCCGATATATTTGACACACATATCGATCACCTTACGGCATGTTTATATTTATAGGTTATCGATAATTTGGGGCATCTCCATTCAACGTGTTCAATTAAATACGTACATTTGTTCTTTTATTTCTAATTGGGAAATCATGAAATGGGAAATTTGCCAATGGACGAACCTTGTAGCACGTCATATGTCTTGCTTGATACTACTGTGTTGATACAAGATCGATACCAAGTGCATAAATGCACCGCGGGGACGGGTTACTTACACGGGCGTGCATGTACCCTTTTACCGTTACACACCTCTACGTGTTGCAAAAATGCACCCACGTGGTTGTGTGTGATAGCCATAGCACTCAGATAAACCGGGTGAAATTCTTTCTTGACTAAAAAAAAAATCGCCGATACAAATCAGCAGCCCAGCACGTAGGCGTTCACAGTCGAGAAAGTGGGCCGGCCGTCTTACCGTTTTGCCTCTGTTATAAGAGCTCCGTATTTCGTACACACGTGGTAAGTTTGATTGGAAACATCACGGCCCAGAAACATTCCGTGGATATGAAAGCATTTGGATGCTATATTGCTTCTTGTTTAAATGTCTCTCGATACCCACACACACACAGCACGAGAAGGCTGGCGACATAATTATAATTCAGGTCAAATCTACGAACACGTGACCGTGTGTATGTGTTGAGATTCATTGTATGGAAATATTTGAACTAATGGTGAGTTATTCTGCGATGGAACAATTATTTTGTCGGCATCACCATTTCAGTTCGTGTGCCGACTCGGTAATTGTTGACTCAAACGGACATCCTTAAAACCCTTATGATTGTTATCAATACACAATTGCTTGCGGTCTCGGCACGTGTACTCCACGTGGATTAGGCAGAAGCGTCTGTCCTCTGAGCATCGACCTCTTGAAGAACTCTTTAAATATGATAATTAAAACGATGTTTGCCGTCGGATTTTGGCCTTGGTGTAAATGGGGTAAATTACTCAAATCCGATGTCTAAAGCTAAAACGGTCTCGCTCTGCTAAAACGGTGTCGCTCTGGAGTTAAATTTGTCTCTCTCTCCTCTCTCTCTCTCTCTCTCTCTCTCTCTCGCTCAGAATATTTTTTTTCAGAATATTTTTTTCCCTTATAATTGATAATTTTTATGTCCTGCTTCCCCTGTTACAGAAAAGGCCGTAGAGCCAGGGAACTCTAAGGTCCTTTGCAAGAAGGTTCATTGATCACAGGAAAAACAGGATTTTTTTCTAAGAAAGCACAAAACAACAAAACCAGACACCACAACACATTCACTCACCAATCACACTTACAAGCTTCAAATATTTACAGTAAGTTTAAGTTGAAGTCCATTCAGCCTATATTTTTTTCATTAGGGAACATTAAGAAAGAATTCAGAAAATCATTTAAAATTTGCAAAATCATGATATAACATCCACTTTTTATAAAACTTATCTTGTTCACTTTTACTGAACTTCAGTAACCCATGCTGGTGATCACTGGATTGTCTGGTCCAGATTCGACTATTTACAAACCGTATAGCGCTACGATCGCTTTGAGGAACGGGGGCCAGGTCTCTACTTGTGTTGTGGTTGAAAGACAGTCTCTGGTACATATGTCTCTTCACGTGCGCGTGCATTATTTACGCCATGCATTGGTGCCGTCAATCAAAACGTATTGTTTCTCTCCTGAAGAAGGTGGTCGCTATATTTTTTCCGCAAGGTGTGAGGTTAGTGTTACGCCGCACTCAGCAATATTCCAGCTATATGGCGGCGGTCTGTAATAGCTGGAATATTGCTGAATGCGGCGTAAAACTAAACTCACTAAACTCACTCCCTCACTCTCTCCCCTCCTTCCCTCTGTCTGCCTCCCTCCCTCGCTCTTCCTCTCCGATCCCTCCATATCTCTCTCCTTTCCTTCCCCCCCCTCTCCCGTGTCTCTCTCTCCCTCCTCTCCCTCTCCTCTCCTCTCTGTGTGTCTCTGTCTCTCTCAAACACACACACGTATAAACATATATTATATTTGTCTCTCAATATATATAATTTAGATAGAAACAAACCATACCTTTTTAATTGAAAAGGAGCCCCAGTGAGAAGGGAGATTCTGAACCTGAAGATATCTAGACTTACTTCTTTTCCAACTTTAGCATTGTGGAAAGGGCTAGACAGAAGGGAACATAATGCGGTTCAGGTACTGTGAGACGGATTGGGGAAATATGTCTTGATGTTATTTAAGTGGTGCAACGTGAGGTCAAAGGTTATCTATTTATAATTACCTATACGGAAGAAAGTAACGCGATCGTCTGGGTTGTTTACACACTACACGTGACGACCGCTTTATATATACACTCCCATGGCGTAACAGTACTAAATCCGGGTAGGTCGGTTAGAATGTTTACTAACACCCGAGTGATCCATTGCCTCTATACTAGTTAAACAAAGCGAAAAGTATATTTTGATCAACGTTTTTGTCAAAGGCTGAACTGCTACGCGAAACGTAACATGTGTAGATTTCTCATGTATTTAGAAGACATATTAACGCGTATGATCATATATTTCCGATGGGGCAAATATACTGGCATCTAGTCCCAGAATCAAAGTTATCTTATTTGAAAATTGCAATATATATATATGTATGTATGCATGTATGTGTGTGTGTGTGTGTGAGAGAGAGAGAGAGAAAGTGTGTGAGAGTTTAGTTTTACGCCGCACTCAGCAATATTCCAGCTATATGGCGGCGGCCTGTAAATAATCGAGTCTGGACCAGACAATCCAGTGATTTACAACATGAGCATCGATCTACCCAATTGGGATACGATGCCATGTTTCAACCAAGTCAGTAAGCCTGACCACCCGATCCCGTTAGTCGCCTCTTACGACAAGCATGGGTTACCGAAGATCAATTTATGCCCCCAATATATAAAATATTGTCGAAAAAGCGTGACATTGTGCCTTTAAGTACGATGTTAAACCCCATTTCACCTCACCTTACCTATGATTACCTGAGAGTACATTTCTCAAGTTCTGGCTCGTGATATATTGCCCAGAAAACTTTAGCCCTCCAAGGTACTAAGATCATCCAGTGTTTAAAGTCTAAAGTCTCCCCGACCGTGTCATACCAAAAGACGCTAAAATATGGCGCTCGGCATTAATGGGTACAACAAGGACTGGTCGGCTCGGAGTCAGTATAATGTGTCTGAATGGGGTATTCATGCTTCACTGCGATATGGTATCTCAGTGGGCTGGCACTATAAAACCAGCTTAAGTCTGGCCTAGTACAGCGGCCGCACATACACATACACACGCATGCACGTCGTCATATGAGCGAAATATTCTCAAGCACGACGTAAAACCCAATTTCACCTCACCTCACCTCTATCAAATAAGGGCTTGAGTTGTTGGACATTAAAGGTTAAAACATCATTGTTTAATTATGGATTTGCTGAAGTGTGGAGAAATCAGGATGTTGGTATAATATAACGGTTCATATCATCTTTTAAGCAGAGATGTATAGATATAAATAAGCAACCGCTGGTTGGAAGATCTCCATATGTATAAGAAACTAACTTTGTACCGTTCTATAAAACATAGAAGGTTACCTGTCGTGTATACCTGTGAAAGTTTATCGTATTGCCTTTTGATCTCTCCTCTGTTTTAGCCAAACGTTATTAATCGAAGAAGGTTGGAAAATAGGTTTCAATAGAGAAGAAAGGTATATCCCCTGTGTGTAGTCAGGGACATAGAATCCGAATATCAGTAATGTTTAGTATGTCCATTTTACGATGGTCTTAGACGCCCTATCATTCCTGCTTATTACTATACATTTCTTTCAAAAATAAAATTTCAACAATTGCTTGCATCTAAAAATACCCATATATTAATATCATCACTGCTTGCAAAGTATGTATTCCTAGGATTTAAATTATGATCACGTTTTCTACAGTCACATGTATACTTTATATTTTAAGGGCTTCATTTTGTTATACGCTGCATCCAGAATCGGGCCAGTGCCCCCACCCCACTACTGTCAATAGACAATAAACTCAACACTATATATAGGACCATGTTTCGCCCGTCCGTACTTCCTTTCCAGACCTTTAATGTGGAATGTCATACACTGGAGATGAGAGTACCGTATTTGCGATGCGAGTACCGATCTCTAATAGAAGGAGGTGTGGTCATCGTAGTGCTCTTGAAATCAGTTTCACACCCCATCTCATCTCACGTACTTCTCACTAAATTTCTAAATTTACTCTGGTGCCTCCAACGTTGCCTTTATCAAGGCTATTCTTGTTTGAAAATATGTAAAATATTTATGTAATCCAAATCGAGCAGAAAAACATTTAAGTTCTGGCCTGGAGCTCAGGCAGTCGGGACTAAGTCTTGCTGAACTGGGCCCCGTTCCTGAAAGCGATCGTAGCGCTAAGGTGATCGTAACTCCCATACTTTAACATAGACTTACGACAGTCGTAGCGCTACGGTCGCTTTGAGGAACGGGGGCCAGGTCT